TAAAAGGCTGTTTCCTCTGTGACTGAGAGTCGCAGTGACCTGAGTGACCTGCAGGGGCTGAGGCCACATAGAGCTCAACCGTTTGGTTATTTTTATATTAAATCCTGGATTTCTCAGAACTCAAACAATCACTGTTCTTTAGCTGTGGTTCACAGTCGAGAACCTTGGACCTTCTAATATAGAGGCCAGTTTAGTTGAACACAACACTGATATTCTTGCAGGGATTGAAGAAAAAGACACAGAAGATCGGCAGTAAATAATCAATAGTTTACTTAATAGTGTACTAATGAAAAATAATAAAATACTAAAGATCATGATGTATAAATATAAGTTCTTGTTTCAACTACACCGTAGTTGGAGTTTTTCTAATGGAGACGTAGAGGTGCTAAAAATAAACTTAGAAAATAAGACACAAACACCAGAAGACTGTCTTCCAATAGCTGGAACAGATGTCATGTTTATGCTCTGTGGGCAGAAATAAGGATGTTTGGCACAAACAGCAGCTTTTACTAGTCCTTCTGTTCTGGCTGCCTGCCTCCTCAGTCCTCAGATTTCAGTCTTCAGTCCTCAGTCCTCAGACTTCAGTCTTCAGACTTCAGTCCTCAGACTTCAGTCTTCAGTCCTCAGACTTCAGTCCTCAGTCTTCAGTCTTCAGTCCTCAGACTTCAGTCCTCAGTCCTCAGACCTCAGTTTTCAGACTTCAGTCTTCAGTCCTCATACTTCAGACTCAGTCTTCAGTCCTCAGTCTTCAGTCCTCAGACTTCAGTCCTCAGTCCTCAGACTTCAGTCTCATCTTAAACATGCGTCGACCTTTTTCTTCTTCCATAATCAATTCAGGACATGTTCCATCACTGAGTCCCAGAGACTCAGCTTGACTTCATCAGTGCAGTAACACTCCAGTCAACAGTCTTACCATGATGAGGTTCATTAAGGCCAAATTAGCATGCCTCTTGAAAAGCAAGCCCCCTGATTGGATCTGATTGATATCATTATGAGAGCAGTGATGAAGCCGATGATGTGGTGGAAAAAAAAACACACTTCAAAAACCAGAGCCTTCACCTGGTACGATGGCTGAGAGCCAGAGAAGGTCACCGTGTGTTTAATCCACGGCTGACGTCAAACGTCACGGACCAGATTCAGCCTCAAAAAGCAGTTTGTCGGCAAAGGCGCTCAGCGGGGGCAGAAACGTCGGCGGAATGTTCCGCAGAGAACCGACGTGATGTGGCTTCACTTTGAAGCCAATCACGGCGAGGGGAACCGAGCTGATGCTTCCTGTTTCCTCCTGGGATGTAATTAACATGAATGGAGCGATGAAGATGGAGCAGCGTCTGATCCGGTTCACTCCACACCCAGACCAGGGTCTGTGGACTGGACTGTGATGTTGACAACCAGGACAATTCTGAAGAATTACTTCATTTGAACCGTTTGTATTTGGAGTTAGTCTTTGGACAGGAGGAACTTTATCGCCACCTGGCTGCAGCCTCACAGAGATCAAGACAGGATTTCACCGTAGATAATGAATGAATATAATGTGTGTGTGTGTGTGTGTGTCGCATCAGCCTCAGTTCGTGTCAACATTTTTTATTAAAACCGACACATTTTGTCTTTTCCGTTGTTCCCACTTTTCAACAGTCAGAAAAAATTTGACTTTGTAATCAGTCTGCAGCACAGAGAGAGGGTTGGTGTTTTTTTTTCTCTCGTTTTTCCACCACTGCCTTTTTCTCTTCTCTCTTTTTAGTAACACACACCAAAGTGATCATGTTCCAGGCTCAGATGTCGAGGGCAAAAACCTCGCAGTTAAAAAAACAGTTTGAGCAGAAAGTGTTTTTTAAAAAAAAACAATATAAAAATTTACATTCGCAGCATAAACACCAACTTTTTGGGTTGTGATTACCGACTGTAGCCAACGTTTACCTGTCACCGTGGCATCTTGAAAGTGGAGCAACACAAAGATACCCATGATGCCTCAGTGCCGCGGTGCCTCTGTTCCTCCGTCTGCCAGGATCGTGACATTTGATAAAACAGGCCGTCAACCATCCGACTCCTCAGCTCCTCAGTGTCAGGTGTTTTTATTATTATTTAGAAGAGAAATGACCTGAGCTTGAAAGCTGTCCGTCACCGAGGTTTACTTCAAAGAGTCAGAGCAGCGTCTGGACTGAGGAGTCTTCACGAAACAACCTGACTCTGGTTACAGTCGTGCAGACTTTCTTATACACGGTTCATACTCTCAGCTCACCAGTAGGTGTCACTAAAACTTGTGATCTTGTATCCAGAGACCAAACATTACAGTCAAATGGGAAAAAAATAATGTTGGGTGATGGTTAATAATAATTCTGCTCACTGGAATAAAAGACAATAAAGTTAGCAGAAAAAAAACAATGAAGTTAGCAAAACCGCACTGAAGTTAGCAAAAAATAGCAACTATCAGATTAGCAATAAACAACAACAACGAAGTTAGCGAAAAATGAATTGCGCATTTTCTGGTCGTGCTTCTTAATATGTAAATCAGCAACCAGAAAAATACCAAAGATATGCACCATATCTGTGACCACAAGAGGGCACTGTTTACAGTCATGACACCTAAATGGCACGATTAAAAAATTTGATGACAAAACCATAAAGAAAAAAAAATGCCATTGAATTTTCTGCGAGATTTGGAGTTGAGATTCTAAAGTATGTAGCTGAAAAACAGTGAGGGAGCAGCGGTTCTTGGTGAGCGGTACCGTTTGATGAAAACCGATGTATGAGCTGTGACATCTGTGGTACGATGAGGAACCCACGGAGATTAGTGCCAGAAAACATCACCGAAGAAACGAAAAAGAAAAGAAAATGGAAACCACTTTTTTGTGGAACTGACAGAACGTCTCATCCTTTTGTCTTTTCCACTTTAAGAACATCTCTCAGTTCCACGGGTTCCTCAGGAACAGAACCTGACTGTTCCCACACAGACAGGAACCTGTTAGCTCTTCTGTCTGACTGAGTGGGCCACAGGGTGCCTGCTGTCCTCCCACTCAGGACCTGGGAGAGTCAGCTGTGGACCTAATGAGAATTGGACCTGACACCGTCCTTAGCTGCTGTCTCCCTCAGCAGCCCGTCACTCCTCCCTACCTCCGACCCCCTCCCTCCCCCTCCTCCCACTTTTTGCTTCCTGTTCTTCTTTGCCGGTGGTGGTGTCACGGAGGTTGTTGCAATCTGAGGTTGAATTATTGATAGGTCGCTGGGTCGGTCTGATCTGCTGGAACTCTCAAGGACTGATCAGATGTGACATCCGTCCGAGCGCTAACAGGAGTAGCCGCGTTGCTATGTGACAGGAAGGCTCTCGTAATTGGGTTGTGTGTTTGTGTGTGTTAATATGGCTGAACATAGATGTGTCCATTTTACTGCAGCTACCAGTAAACCAGCACCATCAACGTGTGACCTACGAGTTTTAGTCAAAATATTCTGAGACCAGTTCAGACTTTGATCGTGTCAGGTGTTCAGCGTTGTTGCCTTTTGATTTGATCAGACTTTTATTTTAAAAATAAACAAGAACAAACATCACAGTCAGAACCAAACCTCATCAACAGGAAGTGGATTTCAGTCTGTTGTCGTGGAATTACTTTGACTGACTTCTGAGTCGTCCTCGTGTCTAATTTATCGGCTCTGCTCTGACGTGGTCTCTCACTCACTCTCTCACTCACTCTCTCACTCTGGTGAATAACTCATACAGAGTGCATTTTGTCTCTGACATCAGCCGTGAGCAGTTAATGTGGGAATTCATACCTCGGTTTCCATGGAGTCTCCTCAGAAACACTCGGCCAGCAGGACATTGAAGTATATGTATATTTATAAATATATTTATGTGATTATATTTATATATTTATACATATATACTAATATTAACCTGTATGCGCACATATCTACATATACTGCATAAGTATATGTGTGTATACATATATGTATATATGTAGGCAAATATATATTTGTATTTAAATATTTCAACATTGATTATTTGTTTGATATTAAATGTATATTATATAAATATATATATAATCATATGTATTATATAATAAAATAAATATATCCTTTGTAAATATATGACATGTACATTTTGTTAGAATGTCTTGAGTTTCTCTCGGTGATGAAACAGAGACTTCATATGGAGCGGACAGCTAAGTTTTCAGTCGGTTCCTGCGTCGTCCCCCTGCTGGAATCTTCTGGTATTTGCCGTAGGAGATACTGTACGACTTCGCGTCGGACGTGTGTCTTCAGTCGGTCGGAGCTGATAGAAGTCAGTCTCTGATCTGGGCCGTCCCGTCCAATCACGGCTGCTCTTTACTCCTCTTATCAGACACTTGAACCAATATTGAACCGTGAACCAACGGTAGTTTCATAAATAAATTACAAGATGGATGAGGAGGCTGTGCAAACACACCAGGTCTAATATCAGAGTAGTACTTCAGTAATGAAGTAGCGGAGCTGGAGGAGGCTCTCGCTGAGACACTGGAGACAGATTTATGAACACACTCTTTAATTTAGTTTCTGCAGCGCGGTAAATAACAAAGTCCACGTCAAACGAACGGGTTTTACTGTAATTAATCAAGGAAAACGTTAACGAGGAAACAGGAGGAAAACCCTGCAGCCGCTGACCTGCAGGGGGCGACTGTGTAGGGGCGTGTGTTGTGTAGTGAAAAAGACAGTACTGTTTGTGTACTTCAGTGGTTCTCAAACATTTTACACCATGAAAATATTTGTCTCTGAATGTACAAGGAGTACGACGACATTAAAATACAGTATTCAGTGATGTAATACTACAACTGGTACTTCAAATCCCTCCTGAAAACAAACTGTATTCAACAACACTTCAGTTTGTGTAGTATTATAAATACATCATTATAATTTATTACATTTTAAATATAGTATTACAGTTGCAGTAGTATAAATGCAGTATGTTAAATACTGTATTATAAGATACAGTTTTGTTGAGTATTTCAACACTTTTGTGTTTTTTTTCTCTCCAGTTGTTCAAGGATAAAGTGTTGGAGCTGGGGGAGAAGCTGCTGCCGGCCTTCAACACCCCCACAGGAATCCCCCGAGGAGTCATCAACCTGGGAAGGTGAGTCCTGCGAGCGTCTGCTCCCAGAACTGTTGATAAACCCTCACTTGTCATTCCATCAGTTCCAGCAACTTTACACGTCACGTAGCCGTTAGCATAGACGGCGTATCTGGCGTATCAGATCTCTTCCAGGTCCGCTGTCTGGGAATACTGCAGTTTTCCAGTAAACTGCAGTAGCAGTGGAGACAGGAAATACAATAGGGCAGAGAAATCCCGTCTTTGGTGTTCGAAGTCCAAACGGAGCGTCCTGCTGGTAAAACACTGGTAATACACCAAACTGGAAACAGCGTCATCTGACCGCGGGCACCACTGGTACCTGAAAAAAAAAATACTACAAAGACAAATACAAAAGCAGTGAAAACTCCCCGGATTAATGAGGAGAACCAAGAACCGATATATAGATTTGTCATATAATAAAAACATGAATACTTTTTCCAGCAGAAATGTGCTGACTCAGCATGTGGATAATGAGACAGCTAACGAACGCTAACGAACGGAGAACAGATTTGATCAAAACGTCTCCAGTTACCGCTCAGTCGTAGGTTGAGTCCACACTTCCTGTTTGTTTCCTGGCACCGCGGCCGTCGTCGTCGCCGTCGTCCACCACCTGCCGCCAGTTCCCAGGACCTGAGCTCGACAGCTGCGGCTGATTTAATTAACTTCACTGGTCGGTGTGTGTTACATCACCAACGTTGGTGTGTGCTGCAGAAAGACAGAAACACACACTGTGTGTGTGATGTTACTGTGATGTCTGTGGTTCTGAAGCGTTGTCTGATGTCTCTGCTGCAGTGGAACCAGCTGGAGTTGGGGCTGGGCCTCAGCTGGGAGCAGCATCCTGGCCGAGTTTGGAACCCTCCACCTGGAGTTCGTCCATCTGTCGGAGCTGTCCAACAATCCCATCTACAGGGAGAAGGTGAGAATGACACTCGGACTGCCGTAGTAGTACTCACCCAGTGGTACTACTTCACACCGCGGGATGACACTCGGACTGCCGTAGTAGTACTCGCCCAGTGGTACTACTTCACATCAACTTACTTTTTCAGTAAGTGTTGAGAGTGCAGCGCCCCCTCAGGACAGTAATGAACCTACTCCATCATCACAACAGTTCTTTGGGGCCTGGTGAGTCTGCGGTCCAGAAATGTCAACAGCTCGGTGTGTGTTTGGAGTCCAGGCCCCGGAAGACGTGGCATTTAATCATCTAGCGCTGAATTTTAGAAACTGCTAAATGTTGCAGACGCAGCGGACGAGTCTGAGGGGGAAAGAGAACGAGGAGCTAGCTCGCTACAGAACCTAAATAGACCACGAAGGATTTATGTAAGAGCCGTCCAATTAAATCTTTTAATTGGATTAACCACTGTGGGTTAATCACAGTTTATTATTATCCTAATTAGTCACCGGAGATCATGACGAGTCAACGTGGATAAATAAGACAAAAAAATATGGTGTTTTTTTCTGTATATTTCTGCTGCTGGTCAGATGACCGCAGGTCCAAAGGTCACGGCAGAGACGCAGGAGCAGCGTTCACCGACCGTCTGTGAAGGTCACACCCGTCTGTAACATGAAGTGGTTCATTCCTGATGTGATGTTTCTGCAGGTGATGAACATCAGGAAACTCCTGAACAAGATCGAGAAACCGCACGGCCTCTACCCCAACTTCCTGAGTCCAGTCAGTGGAAACTGGGTCCAACGTAAGTCATGTGACACAGAACCTGTCAAATCATTTGGATCTTCTCAGCTGCACTGAGCCTCCGTGGAGATTAGATTAGATTAGATTATCCTCAGATTATGAACAGATGAACAGAGTCACATTTTTAACAAAATATAATTCCATAAAAAAATGATAACTAAAGAGTAAATACACCCTACAATGGACAGGAAAAAAAATATATAAAAAATAATTGTAAATACACCCTACAATGGACAGGAAACAAAATAATATAAAGAAATAATACGCCACTAGGGGGCGTCAGGACAGTCACCAGTTCATTGGTTTGTTTCTCGTCCAGAATCTTTTCTTTTAATGTTCTAGAAGGTGAATTGTTCATTCACAGGTGTGAATTTTGGTGTGAATGGTTGATGTCTCAGTGCTTGACATCAGGTCAGAGGGTCTGAC